AAAAAAAATGCCACATGATTTGGCAATTTGAAGGCTAACCATCAAGAGAAAAACACAACATCCTACAAGGTGTTCAGACAAGTTTAAGGAGAGAGTAAGGCAAGAAGGCCGACTATAGAGCAGAATTGAGGGGGTAAAAAAAAAAAAAAAAGGGAAGAAAGAATTCTACATTAGTGGTCCCTAGACTTTTTGTTTGCAAGGATTTCAAAAAGAAACAGGGAAAATGACATAAGGTTGTGGCCTCTTAATTCTATCAAATAGTTTTTTTTCCTTTGTTGTCACCATCATTTGAAATAGGGAACTGCATTAACTATGACAATTTATGAAGCCTAAAACTTTCAGAATAAAGGGAATACCTTTACACAAAATCACCCTACTGTTCTTATTTTATATAATTTAGAGTAGATTCATAAAAATGAAATAAGGGAGCCTGAGTGGCTCAATAGGTTAAGCGCCAGACTCTTGATTTCCACTCAGGTCATGATCTTAGGGCTATGAGGTTGTGAGACTGAGGCCTTCAGTGGTTGTGGGGTCTGCTTAAGATTATTCTCTCACCCTCTCCCTGTCAAGAAAAAAAAAAAGTTGTAATAGAAAAAAGCACCAGGAGTTCCAAATCATTATTCTAGACTACCCTAAAAAAGCCTTGACAGAGTGCAGAGTAAACTGTTAGTTTTCTCCTTTTAAAAATGAAGAAACCAAATTATGCTGAAGCGAATTATTAAGGTCTTTAAGTGGCAACATCTGTCAAATTATGACAAATCTATAGGCCAGGGTGTGCAAACACAAACACTAATTAAAATTTTTACATTTGCTGAGACTCCTAGGTGGCTCAGTAAATTAAGCATCCAACTCTTGATTTAGGATCAGGTCAGGATATCACAGTTTGTGAGAATAAGCCCCATGTCCGGTCCTTTGGGGTTCTCTCTCTCTCTCAAAATAAATAAACTTAAAAAAATTTTTTTTACATTTGTTGAATAGTATTTTAGAACACAAACTCCTGGACTACATTTTCTATGTATTATCTACATCATATTTTTATAGTTGACAAGCATTTTGTGTATATCATAAGTGCATATATTACATACCATTATAGAAAAAAATAGGAGGACACATTTGCAATATATATAAACTAGACCTGGCACACAACTGGGGCTCAATAAAACTTTGTTGAAATGCACACAATGTGTGCCACAGAATGGTAGATACAGAATTACAAATCAAATTCCCTTTCTGTAAAAAATGTTAAGACAACATAATTCAGCGGCTATAAAAGTGGTAATAAGATCACAGGCTTTGGAGTCAGACAAACCTGGGTTCAAATCTCAGCTGCAATACTTTAGAAGGTAAGTGACTTTGGCAAAGTTATTCCAACTAAGTTTGATTCATCTATAAAATAAGAATGGTATCTACCTCAAAGTTGTAGTGCTGATTAAAATGGCAGTTACAATTTTTCCATAACATGACTCGCCAAAATCCTGAAACGGTCCATTTTTTCCAAGTCCTAGACCAAATTAAACCAAATCTCTGTAAGATAAAGCGGAGACCTGCATAGTTCTAAACGTTTTACAAGTGACTCTGATTAGCACTCTCACTTAGGAATCACTGTCCCAGAGCCTTACTACTTAAGCTTTACTGGGGTCCCAGTTAAGTTAATGTCACAAGGATAAAAGTGCATCAAGACATGATCCTCTGCTTTAGTTCCAAGTTTCTAAGACAGACCTTTACCCAAAACACCTTTTACAGAGAACAGAACCATGCTGCAAAAGTTCCAATTTAAAATCCTTTCCAAAGCCAGGGAAAATACGATTCCATACTGAAACTTTACATCAAAACTGGGTATGTCTTAACCTAGTCATATCCATTACTGAATAGTTTTAATATTGAACTTTTTTTTTTTTTTTTGGTCACTTCATCTACACATCAATAGTGACCCAACAACGTACATAATAATGATATTTAAACCTTCTTATACATTATCATTCTTTAAAATAAGTTTAAGTTCACAGTTAAAATACAGTGATGCTTCACTTACACTGTAATAAATTTATCTGACATTTTTTTAAGATTTTATTTTTTAAGTAAGCTCTACATTCAAGGTGGGGCTTGAACGTACAACCCTGAGATCAAGAGTTACATGCTCTACCACTGAGCTAGCCAGGTGTTCCCTGACACATACATTTTAAGTGTTTATTTTTGAGAGAGAGAGGAAAGAGACGAGAGAGAGGGTACAGAAGCGGACTCTGTGCTGACAGCAGAGAACCTGATGCAGGGCTCAAACTCACAAACCTGACTCGAGCAGAAGTCAGACACTAAACTGACTGAGGCACCCCAACACGTATATTTTTAAATGGCTTCTCACAAGCAATCCTATTCAAGACTGAAGGTACACAAAGCAAATTCAATATTCCAGAAGCAAACCTGAAACCCTATTAACTAAGGAATCCAATAAAACATTTGAGAGAAATATGAAGAACAAAATCATACAAATACAATCATGAACATTTTATTCCAAAAGAATCTCTGTGAAATAATGAAAATCTCTGGAAACAAGAATCTAAAAACACTGCAGAATTTGTTAAAAATAAGCAAACAAAAAAAACCTTACAATGGCTTTACCAGAACTAATATGCCAATAGCAGATCAATGGGAAAGCAAACAAGAAAAAGGAATCTTCCTTAAAAGATTTTTACCATTACTGGCAAAGAGAGGAGAACTAAAAGGGAAAGAAAGGGCTAAGGCAGACAATATAGATCTCATTAAGGTATAGATTTTATTAGACGCAAATAAGACATTTTCTCAGATACTTAAATTAGTGAACCTTATAAATGACTAATGCATTGTTTAACTTGCAAAGTGTTAAAATTCAATCTTTCAAGGTGCTTACAGGGCAAAATAAAGGTCTCTCTCTCTCTGAGGGTGGGTGGGGGGGGATGGAGAATCAAGCTTTCCTACCATAGTGCAAAGGTTATAGACACTATATCCAAGGACTGGTGAGGTATTAGTTGAGTCCAGGCCTGTGCATTTGTAAATGCAATTTTTAAAAATAACTGTCTCAGTATCCTCATTCACACAAGATACTGTTTGCAACATGGTACAGTAAAAAGTTGTGTATCAGTAGAACTCTATACATCCCAGACATTTTAAACACATTATATACAAGTTAGAAGAAACAATGGACAATTCTTACCTAAGCTTTTCGAATTTTAAAAGTCGAAAAGTATATCAAAGCACAATTTTAAAACACTGAATTGACCAACAGGCGTTAACTTATAATTAAACTTTTGAAAACTTGTTAGAGTCAAGATATATAAACACCCTCGCCTTTTTTTTTTTGAAGTAGGTTGCAGGCTGTGCAGCCCAAAGCGGGGCTTCAACTGATGACCCTGAGATCAAGAGTCTGACACTTAACTGACTAAGCCATCTATGTGCCCCTAAATATCCTTACTTTAAAAAAATTTTTTTTAAATGTTTATTTATTTTTGAGAGCGAGCGAGCGTTGGAGGGGCAGAGAGCAAGAGAGGGAGACCCAGAATCCGAAGCAGGCTCCAGGCTCTGAGCTGTCGGCACAGAGCCCTGCGCGGGCTCAACTCAGGAACCCGAGATGATGACCCGCTGAAGTTATACGCTTAACCAACTGAGCCCCCAGGTAGCCCAACATCCTTACTTTTTTAAAAGTTAAACTTCAACAGCTTTGTAGAGTCAAATAAAAGTTTACTAGCTCAAAATTAAAGTAATATATATTTGTTTGAAGACACTCTTTCTAAATTAATCCAATCTTCCTTCTTTAGGCGCTACATTTTTCTAACTATTCACCCTAAGCATCTATGACGTATATGTATCAGCCAACACTACTGCTTACATTCTAAATATATACCAGTCCGAAGAACAGGTGCGACATTATTTAGATGCATGCTTTTTTCTTTTAAGCCTAAATTTGCCCTGGAAAGGGATTTAAAAATAAACACAAATACCCAAGAGTTGAACAATCCTCTTAAAAAGATGTAGCCATGCTGAAATTCAACACATGAGCTCTTCAATGACCATCTTCCGAAAGTTAACCAGCCTATCAAAGTTTCACCTTAAAAAGATCAAGTAAGCCTCAATTATTAAGGGTCCTGAGGATATTTAACTTTGCTTCCCCTGTGTTAGTAACGTGAGAAAGTACGTTTTACTGTAAGCTCATATTAAATCTTTTCTCAGTCGTTTCATAAAGACAGCACAGATTCTCTGGTTTGGCTTTTTATGGATAAAGAAGGGGATGGAGGAGGCGGCGGCCGGGTGAAGGGTACTCTAAAAAGAAAAATTCAATTTAGGGAAGCACTGATGAGTCAGTTACTGAGAAAGAACTAACTAAAAGAGAACTTAAGTGAATAAGGCAGCATCCCAGGTAAGAAGGTACCTAAAGTTGGCGGCAGAAAATGAAAACTTCACAAGTATGCAGCAAGACACTGTGCTGGGTAGCAGCCCTGGAGAGAAGCGTGGCTGTCAAGGGGCAAGTGCGTACCAACTCCGGGGGAGGGGGCCAAAAATGCCAAATCGGATGGGGGGGGGTGATGAGGAAAAAGGTAAAAAAATGTCCATCCCAGACTCCTTCCTCGGGATCTCCATCTCAACTTGCACAATCAAAAACTAGCTCAACGCCCAATAACCCCAGGCCAATCTATCCAACAGAAAGGAGTTTAGCCTCAAGCCCCGGAGGCCCGGCAGGCCGCCTCCAGAGGAGCCCCCGCAGACGCCATACTAAAAGTCAAAATGGCTGCCCCAAGGAAGCCCGCACCGCGCAGCTAGGAAGGGTTGGGGAACAAGCTTCTGCGGGAAAGGGGGAGGGGGGCTCTCGGAAGAGCCAACGCCAGAACCGTAGGCAGGACTATCGCCCCCCAGAGCTAAACAGGTAGGTGCCCCTCGGCCTCCCAAGGCCCGGGCAGAGGGGAGTCCCGGCCCCACCCCCCCGGCCGGGAACCCCGTCGCCGCAGCCGTGCAGCACACCACCCCAGAGGTACCTGCAGTTCGGCTCGCTCCACCTCCCAGTGCGCCCGCTCCATCTCGAACCGAGCCCACTCGTGTTGGATGTAGTGCAGGATACCCGGGATAGTGTACTGCTGCGGCCGGGACAGCTCCGGGCCTGCCGCGGGACCCGCTCCCTCGGCGGCTGGAGGACCCCCGCCGCCCGCCGCTCCATTACCCCCTGGCGAAAGGCTCATGTTCCCCCCAGGTCCCTGCTGCTGCCTTGGAGGGGCCGCCATCCCCGGACCGCCACCACCGCCTCCGGCGAGCTCGTCCATTGTGTGTGGGGCCCCAGCCGGGGCGCAGGGCGAGAAGCCGACGGCTGGGGGAAGGGCCGGGGAGGGTGGCCCCGCGCTGGCGGCGGGGCGGAGGCCGGCTGAGAGAGGAGCGAGGAGGGGGTCGTTGCTGTATGCTTGCCGTGGGTCAGAGTAGGGAGCTGCCGGTAGCCGCCATTACAGTCCCTCCTCCATCTGTCCGTCTCACTCACTCACTTTAGGGAAAGGGGGGGCGCGGCGGGAGGGGGAGAGGGGGCTGGGTTGGGAAGGGGATAGACGTAGGGCCGTCACTGCCGCGCAGCATGCCGGGTAGAGAACGCCACTGCCGCCGCACGCCTAGCAGCCAAATAGAGTGCGGCTTCACCATACGCAGGCGTACTGAGGACTCAGGGTTGGCGCTTGAGGCTGAGTAGGAGCTCTAGCCCCGCCCCTAGGCCCTCCCTCAGTCTTGCTCCCGACGTCTGGCTGCGGGTATCAGAACGTGGGCCACTGACTCGAACTTTTGGGAGACAACCGGTCGCATGCTCCCAACAATATCGATCAGTCACCAACCCCCGCCCCCAGGGCGCCTTTTCCACCCAAGGGTCTCAGCAGCATGCCTGCCTTCAGAGCTGGATTTTAACCTGGCTGGACGCTCTGGCCAGCCGCAGCCGGTCCCGGATTCCTGACGTTGCTTTTGCATTCCTTGCGTGTTTCAGGATGCCCCAGAGGGTCGGGCCTCTTCACTCGCTCTTTCTCTGGTTTCTTAGCACCAGTCAGTTTCTGAGGCTTTAAGGACGTTCCCTTTTGGCAGATAGCCCAGATCCTTCCGGGCATGGTGACTGATCACGGTCCTCGGTTTCGAGCCCGGACTTAGCTGCTAATTCTGTGCTCCGAGTCGCTCGTCGCAACTTGTTCCACTTTGCCACACCTCTTCTTTTTATTCTGGGGTGGGTTATGGAGGGCGGGGAGGGCGGGGGGAGTTTGAGCGAATATTTTCTTTTTTTTCTTGGGAGAAGGAGTAGTGAAAAACTTTAGATCTTGACAGTGGTGCGTAGAGGGAGAAAGATAACTTTGAAGGGGACTTGTTAGACCCAAAATTCGATGTTTTAAAATGAAAGGGTTTACAAATAGCAGGATTCATAGAATCTTTCGATGAAAACGGAAAATAAACGCATCGTGCATACAACGTAAGATCCTAGATGGACAGCTGAAGATGTTTTCCTGGGTCGTTAAATGATGTTTGAATGAATATAATATACAAGTTTAATCTTTGAAGTTTAATCTTTTAAGTAGCATAGTTTTATGTGCTTAGGTTGACAGGAAACATTCGTAGTGAACTATTAAGCTCATAAAGAAAGTTAATATAGCTACTAAACTCTTGATTGAAAATTAGGACAAAATAATATTTAATGATATAATAAGGAAAAGAGGTTCAACAATTACAGCTATGCAGGAAAATTGCATATAAAACTGATTGCATTAACTTTTTTTCCCTCTCTACTACCAATAAAATTTTCGCTGTGGAATATATATGACCACTCAAGGTATAATTTCAAAAAGGCAAAAATAGTACATCTTATTTTAGCATGTTTGCTTTACTGTTACTATAGTTTAATGGACAACATTGGACTTGTAACCATGCTGCCATGGTTTATTTGTATATGAACTGGGGTCTTAGGTCACATATTATTAAGCACTATGTTTCCATATTATTAAAGTACTATTTCTCCATTTTATAGTGGCCAACATACAACCTGCTTAGTCATTCCTCTCCGTTTTTGAGGGGACTGATAGCACATAAAAAGTTCCAAAATTTGATTCCTAAGAAACATGTGTGAGCAGTTGTGATGTTGTCATCAAAAGAAGAACACGTGCACTTTTATTTCCTACTGGTATCTCAAGCTCAAGTAAAGACTAGATTTATAAGTCTTGTATTTTCCTCCCCACCCTCAAAAACAAACAACTCTGTTTCTTTTCTATTACCTATCTTATTAAGTGGCATTATATCCAAACCCAAGGTCTGGCCAGTTGTTCTAGTACCTTCTTTTCACTCAGCTCCCACATCCAATCCCTTTCTCAGTAACATCTTTCATTTTTATTCCTTACCTGTTTCATATATATCCCATCATCTTTATTCATGTGTTAGTTTAAACCCCCACCTCTACTCTTCCCCTACCTCCACTACCACTGATGCCTGAAGGATCTTCAGAAGGCAGATCTAATCCTGTTATTCCCCACTTAAAATATTTTAGTCATCATCAGATTTAAAATGAAGCCTGAATTGTAGCATAGCATACAAAAGTACTTCAAATTCTAGAGCCTCTCTATCACCTAATCTGCCATCACACTATCATGGCACCCATTCTTCTTTCCAGCCAAGCTGCACTGTTTTTGGTTCCTCAGAAGCATAATGCTGTTTCATTTCACAAGAATTTAACAGATGCTGTACCCCATTGGCTTTCCTTCCCTTCCTCCAAAACTCAGCTGGAGCATTACTTTGCCAAGAAGCTTTTAGATCTCTGAATTATATTCACTTTTAAAATTTAAAGTACTGGGACTCCTAGGAGCTAGCACTCCTAGGTGCTGTGGCTCAGTCAGGTAAGCATCCAACTCTTGATTTTGGCTCAGGTTGTGATCTCACGGTTTGTGACTGCAAGCGCACATGCTCATGCGCGTGCTCTCTCTCACTTAAAATAAATAAATAAACATTTAAAGATAATATGGAAATAAAATTTCAAGTGCTCCCTATTTGAAGAATTCCAGTTAAACATGTCTACACTCGCTTTCACCATGGTTTTGTAAATGCCAGTAATGCAGTCTTTGGCCATGTGCTTTCCAGATCATAGTTATGTATCTGAGGATTGCAGCCTGTTAGAGGGGTAGGAGCCATGCCCCTCTTGCTTGTAACCATACCCCCAGTGTCTGGGATAGTGCAGTCTCCTCAAAATGATGAGTAACTTAGGGGCACTTGGGTGTCCCGGTTGGCTAAGTAAGTGACTTTGGCTCAGGTCACGATCTCACAGCACATGAGTTCAAGCCTTGCATCGGGCTCTCTGCTGTCAGCACAGAGCTGGCTTTGGATCCTTTGTCACCGTCTCTCTCTCTCTGCCTCTCTCTCTCTCAAAAATAAATATTTCTAAAAAATGATGAATAATTTAAATTTAGAATAACATATATTTTTCCTTCACCTCAATCTTTTTGTATTATTAATTTTTATTACCATTATATCACCTATTTCAAGAGTCAGTGACTAGAACTGCCCTGAGTTATTTTTTATTTTGTTTTTATTTAGATTTTTAAATTTTTTTTTTAATGTTTTTTATTCATTTCTAGGAGATAGAGAGACAGCGTGAGCAGGGGAGGGCCAGAGAGAGAGGGAGTCACAGACTGAAACAGGCTCCAGGCTCTGAGCTGGCAGTCAGCACAGAGCCCGACGCGGGGCTCGAACCCACGAACCGTGAGATCATGACCTAAGCGAAAGTCGGACGCTGAACCGACTAAGCCACCCAGGCGCCCCTAGATTTTTAAATTATTTTTAAGTGATCTCTACACCTAATTTGGGGCTCGAACTCACAACTCTGAGATCAAGTGTCGCAAGTTCTACCTATGGAGCCAGCCAAGTATCCCTTGTTTTTGTTTTTATAATTGACTTTTTTACCCTGAGTATCAAAGTAAAAGACACCAAGACTTTCTCCTCTAAGAGAAGAATTTTAACAAAATTTTTAATGTTTCTTTATTTTTGAGAGAGAGAGGGCGCGCGTGCACACACATGAGTGGAGGAGGGGCAGAGAGAGAGGGAGACACAGAATCTGAAGCAGGCTCCAGGCTCAGGTGTCGGCACAGAGTCCGATGCCCACAAACTGTGAGATCATGACCTGAGCCAAAGTTGGACGTTTAACAGACTGAGCCACCCAGGCGCCCCTAGAGGAGAATATTTTTTACATTATTTTCATTATACTTTGTGTCCATGACTCCTGAGGACACTCCTAGAATCTTGTCCTCTGTACATAATGAGTTTCCCAGGCCATAGTGTCATCTACAACTCGCCTAACTAGAACTTCCTCCTGGAACTGTGGCTGAGTCATTTCCTCTCTTCAGTTTCACCTTTGAAGCTTCCTATTTGTCCTGTCCTTTCATCTATCCCATTCATTCCTCCTCTGCTCCCACTGATTTGATTCTCTTAGTTTCAGTGTACTGCTGCTGATCTTTGATTATGCCTATTTATATTAAATATAAATTTATAAATTTAGAATTTTAGGGTTTTTTTCCTTTCCTGTTAGCTAATCTTAGACACTTGCGTGATTATTCTATCTGACCAAAAAGGGATTTGTCATATTTGATGTGAGTATATTATATCAGCAGAGGTACGTTAAGGAATTCTAGGTTTGGGGCGCCTGGGTGGCTCAGTTGGTTAAGTGTCTGACTTCAGCTCAGGCCATGATCTCACGGTTCATGGGTTCGAGCCCCGCGTTGGGCTCTGTGCTGACAGCTAGCTCAGAGCCTGGAGGCTGTTTCAGATTCTGTATCTCCCTCTTTCTCTGACCCTCCCCTGCTCACACTGTCTCTCTCTCTCTCTCTCAGAAATAAATAAAAGATTAAAAAAAAAAAAGGAATTCTAGGTTTTTACAATCAGTCAAGAGTAATTAACACTCAGATTCCTTCTTTCCAATTATTACAATACCTGATGTACAAAGAGTTTTGACTCTGCCTTAGAGAATCGTATGGTTTCCTGTACAGGGATTACTCACCTGAACATCCAGTTTTACACCTTTCTGACTGTGAACCTGACATCCTTCTAACAAAGAGCTCAAACCGGTTCACAAACACTAATCTAGTTATCTTTTTGTATAATGTGGAAAGGTGGCAACAAGTATCATTATCTCCATTGACACAAAAAAGCTGAGATATAGAGTTCTGGGTCACCTCCTCAGGCACTTAGTAGGCTGGGAAGTGGGCCCCACTCATATCAGTGAGTGTGTGTGTTTATTTGGAAACAAAATCTTCCTTCACTATTCTGCCTCCTACTGTCCCATCAATGGCTCTATATCATTGTCTCTGGTTCCCAAATCATTTGCACTTTTAAAATCATTTTTAAGTGGTTTTGGGGTGATTTTGGTCACCTGGGGAAATTATGTGCTGTTTACATGTATAAATATAGAGAACAAATGAGTATTAGAGCACAGAGGAAGATCTTTGAGAAGACCTAGCATGTGTTCAAAAACCAAAGGAGCAAGGGTGCCTGGATGGCTCAGTCGGTTAAGCATCTAACTTCGGCTCAGGTCATGATGTCTCGGTGAATGAGTTAGAACCCCATGTCGGGCTCTGTGCTGACAGCTCAGAGCCTGGACCTGCTTTGGATTCTGTGTCTCCTT